TTTGGTAATAAATGTGAAATATGAATTCTGTTTTTCATGTGTTTCACTTGTCAGGTACCGCCATGAATTTAAGTCAAATGAATTATGGACAGAGATCAAACTTGTTCTTGATGCCTTTGCTTTACCCTTGACAAATCTCTTTAAGGTATTTCTTGTTGAATCACTTCTAAAATAAGTTTAATGTTCTGAATTGCTTTTTATGGGTGGCTGTAAAATTAAAACTCAAGGATAGTTGTTTTGAAGCTGTTAATGAAGTTCAAGCTAAAGTCATGAAGTGAGACCTAACAGGATTGATGAGGGGAGGAGCAATAACTGTATTTTTTGGTTAAACAAACAAACAAAAATGTCCCATGTCACTTCAATATCTTTTGGTTTTGTACTTGACTAGATCTTGCATTTTTTTCTAGGCAACCATTGAACTTTGCAGCACACATGCAAATGATGCCAGTGCCCTGAAGGTTCTCTTTTCTTCTCTCATTCTAATTGCGAAGCTGTTCTATAGTTTAAATTTCCAGGTGAATCTCCTTTTCTTTTAATGGTTTGCTTTGGTCTCATGAAGTTGCTATGCTCTTGCTATAGAATTCATTTGAGGCAGCCTTTAAGGCCGGGTTTTATGGTAAAAATAACAGTTAACAGTGCATCAGCACTGGAGGAAACGCGCAGGAAGGCTGGGGTTGATTACCAGGTTAGCTTGGCCTTTTTAGGGGAGTCTGTTTAGGGTGCAAGCAAATAGTTTATTTGGAAATAATTGTATTCCAGAGCATTTGCCAGGAGGGTTTTCCTTTGGGGGGAGGAGGAGGGAGTAGTGTTTCACTTTGAAGATTGTTTTCCTCAGGTTATTGTCCCTCAGTAGGTGACAAGGTGGATGCACTGCTTACAGTGTAGGTATGTTGTTATCTAAGCAGTGCAGTCAGAAATTAAAATGGAGATTTATGCTTTCCCTTCACAGGATCTTCCAGAGTTTTTTGAAGATAACATGGAAACATGGATGACAAATTTTCATAGTCTTCTAACTTTAGATAATAAACTCTTGCAGACTGATGTAAGTACTGCATAAACCTCCTGGTTTGTCTCTGTGTAGGGGACAGGGTTGACTGTGAGCTTGTGTCTAACTCTGAACCATGCAGTGTTTTCTTGGCTGGGCAAACAAAGGAGTAGAATGACTCTAATGATGTTTAAGAGAAGTTGCTCTGTTGTTTAAGGAATTTGAGGTCCAGTTCTTGAAGCTGTATGTCAGTTATAGGTATACCCCAGCTGTGCACAGAAACCAAATTACAGATACTTGTCAGTGAGTTGCTCCTTTCAGAGACATTTGCTGGAGTAACCTGACCATTGGCATCGCTGTGCTCGGGTTTCCTGTGCCTCAGCTGGGTCATGCACAGTGTTCTAGAAAACAGGGTATCCTAAAGAACCTGAACCAGCTGAACACGGAGGGCAGGACATCCCTCAGTGCTTCAGCATTTGCTGTCTTTGATTAAAGAATTAGTAATTTCCCTGGTGAAAGATGAAACCAAGTTATCAAAACTCAAATTATTTTTGTGCGTGCTCTCTGCGTTTTGAGTGCCAAAGTCTTCCCGATACAGCACAGTAGTTTGCCACTTGATGGAGCCAAAACAACTCTATAATATAATTTCTTGACAGCACAAAGGGAGGCATGTGAAGGGTGTCTTGTGCTTTATTACCCTGCTGCTGAAAGAAGCTTTGCTGCTCTTCTCTCATTTGCTCCCAGCACAGACACTGGTGCAGCTGAACTGGGAGAGGTGTTAAAGCTGAAAGGTGGGGGTGGAGGGGAGAGGGGCAGACAGAGCTGAAGTGTGGGGTCTAATTGGGATGGTTTTTTAACTCCAGCTCAACTTCCTAAATCACTTGTTGGTTCTAGAAGCATCTTTTCTGATCTGGAGAAGGGGAGAGAGCTACAACTGTTCCAGTTAAAAGTATCATATAATATCTTCTAAGCATATTTTTTCAGTGTCTTGTGTTGTCTTTCTCTTATTACATTTGTAAATTAATTTCATGTAAATTATTTGGTCTGAATAAAGTGCGTAGTACCTTGATTTGAAATGTAGGTATGATTTATAACTTGGAGAGCAGTTGGGGTGCAGACCAGCAAAGTGCAGCAATTCTAGAACACAATAAAATGATGGTGTAAATATTTCCATTAAGCATTTGGATACTTTTAATGTTGAAATAGCACTGAAGTTTGGATGTTTAAGTTCTTAGTTTTGTTTTATGTGAGGATGAAGAGGAAGCTGGATTACTGGAGCTCTTGAAATCACAAATTTGTGATAATGCTGCTTTATATGCTCAAAAATACGATGAAGAATTCCAGCCCTACCTGCCACGTTTTGTAACAGCAATCTGGAATCTGTTAGTCACGACAGGCCAGGAGGTGAAGTATGACTTGGTAAGTTGTTATAAACTGATCTTGTCGGGTTTGGTAATGAATTATAAATTGATCAATCATGCTAAAGCTTTGTGTTCTGTTTGTGGTGCTGCAGCTGGTCAGTAATGCAATCCAGTTTCTGGCCTCAGTTTGCGAAAGACCACATTACAAGCACCTGTTTGAAGACCAGAATACACTGACAAGCATCTGTGAGAAAGTTATTGTTCCCAATATGGAATTTAGAGGTAACTTTTGCAGATTTAAGGTTTCAAAAGCACAGTCAAAATCTAATTATAATGACAAGTTGCTCTGCAGGACCAAGAATCGAGGATTCCCTCTTGTGTACTTTAGTGTTTAGATTCAAACCCAAGTTTATGCAGCAGATTGTCCTGTGGGATTTGTAGAATTGTATAAATATACTGATTTTTCATGGCGAAATCCCAGTGTAGGAAGTCTAGGTCACGTGCCAGCAATAAATTTCCATGCTTAATGTGAGTATCAGAATAATTCAAGGAGCCTAAATAGTCAGGAATATCAGGCCTTGTAAAATGTCAGGTTCTCCAGGTTTTGATGGGCTCATATTGATCCTAGTATTTACAATGCAGTGAAGATGTATTGCAGTGATAAGGAGCTGCTCTCTTTAAAGTCTGTAGCTCTGGAAGCCTTTTTAAATTCACCTGGTGTTAAATATGTCTTAGATGTTTTGGGTTGTTTGTTTTTTTTTTTTTTTTTAAAATCAATACATTGGCTCTTGAGTATGAAAGACTTAATTTGTGGGGCAGGAGAAAGCTTAACAGTCTAGTCTGGCCAGATATTTCTGATTAATTTCTGTTAATGTTATAGAACAGTCCTTGGAAAAACTAGAAAGTTGTTGATGATACACCTTTTTATGTAAAAACCAGAGATCTCAGTATTTAAACTTCTCTGTATTTTGTATTGTCAGCGGCTGATGAAGAAGCATTTGAAGATAATTCTGAAGAATATATAAGAAGGGATTTGGAAGGATCTGGTAATCTACAGATTTACACTAAGAATACTTGGTCTTTGAACGTAGCTCTAAAGAGCTGAAGCAATTTACTGAAGCTTTTATAACTTTATTTTGAAATTGAGAAGGTTTCCACACACCACCCCCCAAGGAGATTTTCTCCATTCTTGGATCAAGTCTGCCTGTCTCAGTGTCTTTGTTTTGAACAGTGTTTTTATGGGGCTTTTTCCTTAAATGGGTTGTGAGTGGAGGACAAAACTCAAGGAATGTTTTTGAACTTTTTTCAAGAAAACATTTTTTTTGTCATTCTTATCCAATATTGTCTGCCTTTTACGTATCTGTAAAGCTTTTATTTGTTGGCTCCTTCTGCTTTTAAACAGAATTGAGGTGGGGGGAGGACATATTTGTATTCTTCAGAGATTACTTTTTAAATGTCCTCTCTTGCATTTGAATTGACTGGCTTTCTTGCTGTTTTTTCTGTCAGTAAATTGAATGGAAGGCTACAGAACCGTTTTGGTTTTTTGTGGGTTTTTTTTTTTTCATCTTGAAACAAACTTTTACAGAGTTTTTGTTTGCTTGTTTGTTTTTGGCATTTGGGTATTTTTTACCAAAATGTCTCTTCAGGTGTGGTGGGCCAGCACCTGGCTCATGCTCTACCCTGCTGCAGTGGGATGAGTAGAAGTGAGAAGACTGATGGATAAAGACAGTTTAGGTGAAAGAAAGAGGAAGAAAAGAGGAGAGAAGTCAACGACTCACCACCACCCACAAGTAGACTTTTGCCCAGCCTGTCTCTCAGCAACAGCTACCTCTCCCCAAACCCTCTCCCCTCAGTTTTTATTGCTGAGCGTGTCATATGGCGTGGAGTATCCCTTTGGTCAGCTTGGATCAGCCACCCAGGCTGTGTCCCCTCCCAGCTCCTTGCCTGCCCCAGACTAACTACGAGCTGGGAAGGCAGAGCAGGAGGAAGAGGAAGCCTTGACACTGTGACAGAGCAATTCAGCAGCAGCCAAAACACTGGGTGTTACCAACAGCTTTAGTCACTGGTACAAAACACAGCGCCATATGGGCTGCTTGGGAGAAATTTAACTCCCTCCCAGCTCAACCCAGCACATTTGGGTGCACAGTGCCAAGGCAGTACCATCCCCTGGGCATGGGTGTCCATTCTGGGTGTGCAAACAATCCTCTTGGGACAGGGAGTAAAGACTTCAGTGTGCTTGTACACATCGGGGGGGGGGGGTTGCAATAATTACCATGGGCTGTGGCTGTAACTGCAGCAGCTGTCTGTTAATATTTTGATTGCTGTGTTTGTTAACATGAAGAGCTGTGTGCTTTGCTATATCCAAAGAGTCTTTGGTTCTCATGCAGATATTGACACCAGGCGCAGAGCGGCTTGTGATCTAGTCAGAGGCTTGTGCAAATTTTTTGAAGGACCTGTGACAGGGATCTTCTCTGGATATGTTAATTCTATGCTGCAAGAATATGCAAAGAATCCATCTGTTAACTGGAAGCACAAAGATGCAGCTATTTACCTTGTTACCTCTTTGGCATCCAAAGCTCAGACACAGAAGGTACTTTTACATTCTCGTTGTTGTGATCTGTGTGCAGGTATCGTAGTGTGGATGAAGCCTACAGTTCATTTTAAGCTGCTTCAGAATGAGAGTAAGTGCCTGTGCAGCAGGTGATGTTGAGGAATTAAAAGCTTTCCATCATACAATCCCAGTTGGTGAATTGGTGGTACCTGACCTGCAGGAAGGCAGGGCACAGCACCTGGTGTGA